AAACGTTAGGATATATCAGAGACACAACCCTAAACACAATAGGATTGGATGAAAACCCTCAAAACATTAGGATCAAAAACTAATATCCTCAAAACATTAAGATATACTAGAGACACAACCCTCAAAACATTAGAATTGGATAAAAACCCTTAAAACATTCGGATCAAAAACTGATATCCTCAAAGCATTAGGATATAGTAGAGACACAACCCTCAACACATTAGGATTGGATGAAAACCCTCAAAACATTAGGATAAAAACTAATATCCTTAAAACATTAGGATATACTAGAGACACAACCATCAATACATTAGGATTGGATGAAGACCCTCAAAACATTTGGATATACTAGAGACACAACCCTCAATGTTTAAGGATTGGACAAAGACCCTCAAAATATTAGGATAAAAAACTAATATCCTACAAACATTAGGATTTAGTAGAGACACAACCCTCAATACATTAGGATTGGACAAAGACCCTCAAAACCTTAGGATCAAAAACTAATATCCTCAAAACTTTAGGATATATTAGTGACACAACCCTCATTACATTAGGATTGGACGAAGACCCTCAAAACATTAGGATCAATAACTAAAATCCTCAAAACATTAGGATATAGTAGAGACACAACCATCAATACGTTAGGATTGGACAAAGTCCCTCAAAACATTAGGATCAAAAACTAATATCCTCACAACATTAGGATATAGTAGAGACACAACCTTCAATTCATTAGGATTGGACAAAGATCCTCAAACCATTAGGATCAAAAACTATTATCCTCAAAAAATTAGGATATAACAGAGACACAACCCTCAATACATTAGGATAGGACAAAAACCCTAAAAACATTAGGATAAAAAACTACTATCATCAAAGCATTAGCATATAGCAGAGACACAACCCTAAACACATTAGGATTGGATGAAAACCCTCAAAGCATTAGGATCAAAAATTAATATCGTCAAAACATTAGGATATATCAGAGACACAACCCTAAACACAATAGGATTGGATGAAAACCCTCAAAACATTAGGATCAATAAACTAATATCCTGAAAACATTAGGATATAGTAGAGACATAACCCTCAATACATTAGAATTGGATAAAGACCCTTAAAACATTCAGATCAAAAACTAATATCCTCAAAGCATTACAATATAGTAGAGACACAACCCTTAACACATTAGGATTGGATGAAAACCCTCAAAACATTAGGATCAAAAAGTAATATCCTCAAAACATTAGGATATACGAGAGATATAACCCTCAATACACTAGGATTGGATGAAGACCCTCAAAAAATTAGGATATAGTAGAGACACAACCCTCAATAAATAAGGTTTGGACAAAGACCCTTAAAATATTAGGATAAAACACTAATATCCTCACAACATTAGAATATAGTAGAGACATAACCCTTAATACATTAGGATTGAACAAAGACCCTAAAAACATTAGGATGAAAACCTAATATCCGTAAAACTTTAGGATATACTAGAGATAGTACTCTCAATACATTAGGATTGAACGAAAACCCTCAAAACATTAGGATCAAAAACTAACATCCTCAAAACATTAGGATATAGTAGATACACAACCCTCAATACATTACGATTGGAGAAAGACCCTCAAAACATTAGGATCAAAAACTAATATACTCACAACATTAGGATATAGTGGAGACACAACCCTCAATACATTAGGATTGGACAAAGAACCTCAAAACACTAGGATCAAAAACTAATATCCTCACAACATTAGGATATACTAGAGACACAATCCTCAATACATTAGAATTTAACATAGATCCTAAAACCATTAGGATCAAAAACTAAATCCTCAAAGCATTAGCATATAGCAGAGACACAACCCTAAACACATTAGGATTGGATGAAAACCCTCAAAGCATTAGGATCAAAAACTAATATCGTCAAAACATTAGGATATATCAAAGACACAACCCTAAACATATTAGGATTGAATGAAAACCCTCAAAACATTAGTATCAAAAACTAATATCCTAAAAGCATTAGGATATAGTACAAGCACAACCCTGACCACATTAGGATTGGATGAAAACCCTCAAAACATTAGGATCAAAAACTAATATCTTCAAAACATTAGGATATACTAGACACACAACCCTCAATACATTAGGATTGGATGAAGACCCTCAAAACATTAGGATCAAAAACTAATATCCTCAAAACGTTAGGATATAGTAGAGACACAACCCTCAATACATAAGGATTGGACAAAGACCCTCAAAATATAAGGATAAAAAAGTAATATCCTTACAACATTAGGATATAGTAGAGACACAACCCACAATACATTAGGATTGGCCAAAGACCCTAAAACATTAGGATCAATAACTAATATCCTCAAAACATTAGGATATACTAGAGACAGAACCCTCAATACATTAGGATTGGATAAACACCCTCAAAACATTAGGATCAAAAACTAATATACTCAATACATTAGGATATAGTGGAGACACAACCCTCAATACATTAGGATTGGACAAAGACCCTCAAAACATTAGGATCAAAAACTAATATACTGAATACATTAGGATATAGTGGAGACACAATCTTCAATACATTAGGATTGGACAAAGACCCTCAAAACAATAGGATCAAAAATTAATATCCTCAGGATATAGTAGAGACACATCCCTCAATACATTAAAATTGGACAAAGACCCTAAAAACATTAGGATCAAAAACTAATATCCTCAAAGCATTAGCATATAGCAGAGACACAACCCTAAACACATTAGGATTGGATGAAAACACTCAAAGCATAAGGATCAAAAATTAGTATCGTCAAAACGTTAGGATATATCAGAGACACAACCCTAAACACAATAGGATTGGATGAAAACCCTCAAAACATTAGGATCAAAAACTAATATCCTCAAAACATTAAGATATACTAGAGACACAACCCTCAAAACATTAGAATTGGATAAAAACCCTTAAAACATTCGGATCAAAAACTGATATCCTCAAAGCATTAGGATATAGTAGAGACACAACCCTCAACACATTAGGATTGGATGAAAACCCTCAAAACATTAGGATAAAAACTAATATCCTCAAAACATTAGGATATACTAGAGACACAACCATCAATACATTAGGATTGGATGAAGACCCTCAAAACATTTGGATATAATAGAGACACAACCCTCAATATTTAAGGATTGGACAAAACCCTCAAAATATTAGGATAAAAAACTAATATCCTACAAACATTAGGATTTAGTAGAGACAAAACCCTCAATACATTAGTATTGGACAAAGACCGTTAAAACCTTAGGATCAAAAACTAATATCCTCAAAACTTTAGGATATAGTAGAGACACGACCATCAATACGTTAGGATTGGATAAAGTCCCTCAAAACATTAGGATTAAAAACTAATATCCTCACAACATTAGGATATAGTAGAGACACAACCTTCAATTCATTAGGATTGGACAAAGATCCTCAAACCATTAGGATCAAAAACTATTATCCTCAAAAAATTAGGATATAATAGAGACACAACCCTCAATACATTAGGATAGGACAAAGACCCTAAAAACATTAGGATAAAAAACTACTATCCTCAAAGCAATAGCATATAGCAGAGACACAACCCTAAACACATTAGGATTGGATGAAAACCCTCAAAGCATTAGGATCAAAAACTAATATCGTCAAAACATTAGGATATATCAGAGACACAACCCTAAACACAATAGGATTGGATGAAAACCCTCAAAACATTAGGATCAATAAACTAATATCCCGAAAACATTAGGATATAGTAGAGACACAACCTTCAATTCATTAGGATTGGACAAAGATACTCAAACCATTAGGATCAAAAACTATTATCCTCAAAAAATTAGGATATAACAGAGACACAACCCTCAATACATTAGGATAGGACAAAGACCCTAAAAACATTAGGATAAAAAACTACTATCCTCAAAGCATTAGCATATAGCAGAGACACAACCCTAAACACATTAGGATTGGATGAAAACCCTCAAAGCATTAGGATCAAAAACTAATATCGTCAAAACATTAGGATATATCAGAGACACAACCCTAAACACAATACAATTGGATGAAAACCCTCAAAACATTAGGATCGATAAACTAATATCCTGAAAACATTAGGATATAGTAGAGACACAACCTTCAATTCATTAGGATTGGACAAAGATCCTCAAACCATTAGGATCAAAAACTATTTTCCTCAAAAAATTAGGATATAACAGAGACACAACCCTCAATACATTAGGATAGGACAAAGACCCTAAAAACATTAGGATAAAAAACTACTATCCTCAAAGCATTAGCATATAGCAGAGACACAACCCTAAACACATTAGGATTGGATGAAAACCCTCAAAATATTAGGATCAAAAACTAATATCCTCACAATATTAGGATATACTAGAGACACAATCTTCAATACATTAGAATTTAACATAGATCCTAAAACCATTACGATCAAAAACTAAATCCTCAAAGCATTAGCATATAGCAGAGACACAACCTTAAACACATTAGGATTGGATGAAAACCCTCAAAGCATTAGGATCAAAAACTAATATCGTCAAAACATTAGGATATATCAAAGACACAACCCTTAACACATTAGGATTGAATGAAAACCCTCAAAACATTAGTATCAAAAACTAATATCCTAAAAGCATTAGGATATAGTACAAGCACAACCCTGAACACATTAGGATTGGATGAAAACCCTCAAAACATTAGGATCAAAAACTAATATCTTCAAAACATTAGGATATACTAGACACACAACCCTCAATACATTAGGATTGGATGAAGACCCTCAAAACATTAGGATCAAAAACTAATATCCTCAAAACGTTAGGATATAGTAGAGACACAACCCTCAATACATAAGGATTGGACAAAGACCCTCAATATATCACGATCAAAAACTAATATCCTAAAAACGTTAGGATATAGTAGGGACACAACTAATATCCTTCTGAGTCTTACTCTGAAGCTGAGTACGATTTGGAGCAAGATCGGTGTTGTACTTATACTGCTTGACAAATGCATCGGCTAGCTCGGCCCAAGTGCGCACGCTGTTACGTTCTAGCTGCATATACCATTCGAGTGATGCCCTAGACAAGCTGTCTTGGAAGCAATGGATCATGAGCTTTTCATCTCTGGCATAGGCAGCCATCTTGCGACAGGACATCTTCAAATGAATGTTTGGGCAACTGAGACCCTTGTACTTCGAGAATTCGGGCACCTTGAACTTGGGAGGAATGACGACATCAGGCACCAAACACAATTCCAAAGCACTGAAAGAATTTGAATTATGCCCCTCCATGGCTCGGAGTTTCTCGGCTAGATCTCGGCACATCTTCATGGCTTCAGAATCCTGAGCAGCAACAGGACTGGCAATGGGGATAGCAGCATGATAATTCTGAACATCGTCATACTGATCCATCAGAGTATCTTCGATATGAGGAACCGGGATTTGCACAGCAGTAGGCTGGGCCTGCGGGACAACTCCAACAGTAACTCCAGGCGCTGGGATTGGCTGAGAAGTGTTTCCTTCGACTGCGTTGTTGAAGTTCAACGGCATCCCATGAGAATTTGGAATTGGAACCAAAGGGATGGCAGTAGACCCTTGTCCTTGACCATTGTTGACGACAGCAGCGGCTTCGCGTTGTTCTTCCTCTCTCCTGGCCGTGAGGATGGCTTCGAGGATCTGGTCAATCTTTCCTTTCATAGAATCCAACTCTTCCCTGAAGGTAGCTTGCTCTTGTTGAATCTGCTCCATCATTCGTCTTGTATTGGCTCTAGTTGCGTACTGGTGTCGAGGACTTAGCTTGATTTACTGGATATGAAGGAAAGAGAAACATGAGAAACTGCTGAAGGAAGGAGAATGCAAGATGCACAACAAATGAGATGCAATGCAAATGATATGCAATACAAGATGCAAGATCCAGGATCACAGGATCACGAATTCAAACAGTTCTGAGAATAGCCGGTGAACGGTTCAAGGATCACAATCACTGCCAAAGAAACCCCCCACAGGTAGGATTCTAAAATGGGTAGGTGCCTAGAGTCATGGACATCTTTCAAAGATATTACTTCCATGACAAAGCCTCATCACGACGATAATATCCTCAAAATAATCTCCTCTAGGTGAGGTTCTCGTATCTTCCACGCGAGAAAGACTTCTCGGAGGCGTCAACTACACAACCATCGACACACGGGTTCTAGAAAAGGTTCTCAAAGTCATAGATCGAGGTTGAAAATATTACTGTAAGGAAGTAATACGTTCAAGGGATCTCATCTGATTGGGGCGTTCGTATTAATTCACAAAGAATTAACACTACCAACCACCATGGATAAAACGGTTAATGGTCCTTGGGATCAACGATTCAGACTCGAAAACGTTATTGTTATGGCAAAGACTCACCACAACAACAACACCTCCAAGGAATCTACTCCAAGCGGGGTTTTCGCTTCAACTTAACGTGAAAGACTCCACGCAAGTCTCCACTACACAACCACCATCCTAATCCTAGGGTTATACTCGGACTCGGGTGTAGAGCCATCTCACAAAGCAACCATAAGTAGAACAACCCCACAATGCCTCAAGCACAAGTAACCAAGATAAGGATACCAATAAAAATAGCGAGAAGAAAATAAAAACAAACAGCTAACAACTCAAACCAAGATAGGCTCGACCCTCTTTTGCATGGAGCAAATGGTCCCCAGCAGAGTCGCCACTAGTCGCACCTCGAAAATTCATTCAAGAACACGACCCTCGCGCGGAAGGCGTGGAAATGCGGTTCGACAGAGTCGCCACCGAACTTTATTTTTCCCGAATGAACGGGAGAGGAAAATATCGAGAAAACCTCATAAACGCGGAAGGAACACGTCCGTCGTAACCATATTCCTGGGTTCGGGAGTCGGTTACGCGAGGGGAAGGTATTAGCACCCCTCACGTCCGTCGTACTCGACGGGAACCTCTTAATTCGAGTTAATGGATGTTAGCTTAAACTTAATTCTTCTCTTCTCGCTACTAACAGCTAAAGGATACTATAAAGGTATAAAGACACTAAAGGGAGAGGGGATCGTTAGAGGATAGGGTGCTCGCCAAGGATTGGGGCCCTTGTGCCTACGTATGCTCATTCGGACGAGAATGAGAAATCAGAGCGTCGTAGTTCGACTACGGGTAAGGATGGGGAAAAATGGAAGATGGAGGGAATTGTGCTCGCCAAGATTATCGCAATCTTGTGCCTACGTATCTTATATTCAAGAATGAATAAAGAATCAGAGCAGTCGTAGTTCGTGGTAACAACCACGAAAGAAACTGGATTGAATTGGTTTGAAAGGGGTACGGATGACGATTACTCGAAGCTTAAGAAAGACTTCTCGGACCCAAGTAATCGGGAGAGCGAACCAAAGACTTGGAACACTCTCTTTTTCATCTTGAAGATAAAGTTGTTTGAAAGGGTGATGTTTGAACCGATGACGATTACTTGAAGCTTAAGAAAGACTTCTCGGACCCAAGTAATCGGGAGAGCGAATCAAAGACTTGGAACTCTCTCTTTTTCATCGTGTAAGGAACTGTGTTTGAATGGTGTTTGGATAATTGGGTGGAATCGGATGACAATTACTCAAAGCTTAAGAAAGACTTCTTAGTCTCCAAGTAATCGGGAGAGCGAACCAAAGACTTGAAACACTCTCTTTTTCATCGAAAAGGAAGTTGTTTGAGTTTGAAATGGTGTTTGGGATAATGAGTAGTTGAAGGATAGTTGAGACGATGATCGAATGTTGTCGAGTTTGTTAATGTTATTTAAAGGCGTCAATTGCTCACACACGAATAAGATAACTCGCATATAAACAACCGAAAGCAAGATCAAAGACTTGAACCCACTCTTTACACCTTGAAAAGGATTAAATAGTTGTTAATTGATTGATATTTGTTATGAAAATCCGCTTGACGTTGGATCAAGGGTTTGACTTATTATCGCGTGCAAAACGTGCGGTGGAAATGGTTTGAAAATGGAGACCGACTTGACTTACGCATCAAGGGTCGATTTGTAATAGGTTGATGGTGAATGCGTACGAGCACTCGACTTACAGGTTGTTTGAAAATGGCTCGATGATGAATCGAGAATTAGTTTGAAAATAGTTTGAATCCGTTCTAGTCCCTATGGGTGCTCCTAGGAGATAAACTAATAATTAAAGAAATGCGAAACATACATCGGAATGGGAGAGGGATACATGTAAGTTACACGGGATTGCACGAAATAAAGGGGTCTCATTGTAAGGTAGCCCAAGAGAAAGCCGTGTGTGTGCAATGTGTCCTAAACTACGCCTTGAGCAAAGTCGGGCACGACTCAAAATTAGGATACCTGCAAATGACCAAAGATCCAACAGTCCACCAATTTGGCTTTTAGCGGTTTCGATAATTTATGATGTATTTTCGAATATGGGTGAATAAATATGAATAAATATGATATGATAATAATATAAATAAATAATATGATAATAATATAGTAAGATAATATAACAATAATATCCACACTAATATTTGACGGAAATTAAATTTAATGGTTAGTTTAGTGAATCAAATCGGGACACGAAAGAGTAGGATCTCGTCTTAATCGCAAACATAATGCCGATTAATCAAAGGTAGCCTATCACGATCCCAAAGAACGGAAAATGACCACAATGGTCATTCCCCATAGATTTGAAATCGAGAAGGTTATCAACTTCGATACGCGACGCTTACGAATAAAAGACTTTCATCGATCCAATAGTCAGAATAAAATCGGAGAAAAAAGGGTGGTCTCGGATCCTTTGTTGCACGCCAATAATTTGGCGACTAAACATTGGTAGTCTCATCATCGACCAAAAAAAAAATAAAAAAAAAGAAATAAAATATCCAAATAAAAACAAAGTCTAACTTTAAAATAAATAGATTCTAAATCTTAAAGAAAATATTGAAGAGTTCTAACAGAAATTTAAATGTAAAACTAAGAAAAAATAATAGATTAACAATTTCAAAAATTAAATATAACATTATATCCATATACACAAACAATCTATTTATAACAAAACTTATAAAAACGTTTGTATAGAAACACAGGGTGAAAACAAGTGAGGATCCCATGGGCTCGGAGCCCATCACCTCTTCCGTCGTCACAAAAAAAATGAGCAAAAAAAATTAATAAAATAAAAAAACAGACGGGCCGTGAGGCCCATGCTCAACTCAAGGATAACAGCAAATCGATCTTGAAAAGAACAGGGTAACCACTGATACCCAAAATCAAAACTTCAAACCATAACCATGAAAGAACACGGACTCCATGTAATCCCAACCTTAAATCGGACAGTGATGAACAAGATGCCTCGTCTAGAATATTCGTAACTTTCTAATGTGATTTTGTCTCTTCATCTTGCTTTTCATTCACATCTATTCAGAAATTGATTTTGGTCATGTTCTGATTTTGGGGTTTTCTGATTGGGTTGTTGAGGGTCTCGAAAAAAAAAAGAATATGGGTTGAAAGTTGTGGTTGGAGAAGAGAAAGGATTTGGGGGTGGTTTTGGTTTGAGATGATTAAAGGATAAAAGTTGAAGAAAGAGTTTTGGTTTTGGAGATTAAGGTTGAAGGTTGGAGAGGAAGGTGGAAGAGAGTTGGTTCTTGTTCATTCATCTCCCGATTTTGAAGTTATCAGAAATAGGAGAATTATCAAAAGAAGTGGCGGCTAGGGTTAGGTTTTAATGTAGGAGAGTGGCTAGCCCTTTTTTTTGTAGCCTCTCATATGGTTTTATATGGGGAGAGTCTCTGATGGATTGAGGTGAGAGTCTGCTCTGTAGTACGATGCCCTCAGTCCTTTTGTCTGTATTGAGGTAAAACATTTTACTACAACCAAATGAATTCTGATTTTACTGCTAGTAAAAGTGATTTTATTTACTGAACTTTTACCGTGTGGTATTTTTATGAACCAACTGCTGTGTTATTGACTTGTTGCAAGACTTCTGAATTTTGCCATGAAATTCCTGATTTTGTTCATATTGTTAGAAGTCTAAATGTTAACATGTTGCACACTCATTACCTGCAGGTATTGAGCTCAAGGAGCTTTATCTTGAGCAACAAACATAAGCCTGACCATGGGGTAATGACTCTTTTTTAATTTCCTTGATGTAAGCTAGCTTGATTTTAGAATTATCATCCTGACATGTTTATTCTGTTTTGGGAGTTTCATCACTAACATGCCACTTTTCCATCAGCTAGGTGGGTTGTTTCTCTAATAACAGACTGATCAGAGTCTGAAGAATTCAGTAGTGGTGCCAACTCATGTATTATGCCATCATCAACATCATCAGTCAAGTTGTCTATTGCACTATAATTAACTTGTTCAGGCTCTAAAGAAGTGGGTAATGGCATGAATTCACTTAACTCGGTATCAACACTGTCATTCAGATTGTTTGTTTCACTAAAATCAAATTGTTCAGACTCTAAATAAGTGGATAATAGCACCGAGTCAATCTCGTCTGCGTCAACACTGCCAGCCAGATTATCAGCTGCACTAGAATCAACTTGTTCAGACTCTAAGGTAGTGGATACCAGCACCAATTCATTTGTTTCGGCATCGACGCTCCCAGTCAGATTGTCTGTTGCAGCATAACCAATTTGTTCAGACCCTGAAGAAGTTAATACTGGCACGAACTCAGTTATGTTTTCCTCATCTTGCGTAGACTCTAAAGATGTGGATACTGGTTCCAGTTCACTTATATCAGCACCGATACTGCCAG